TTCAATTTCCCCCCTAGTCCTTGGCTCTCTGAATTCACACAGAGAACAGTTGGTAACAGTTGAAAGAGGAACACACATGACTAGTCTTCCAAAATCATGAAGATGTGTGAATAACTTCAAAGAGTTCTGGGCATTTTGGAAGAACACAAATGGCAAAAACTTTACCCAAAACGAGTCCTTCAGTTGTGCTCCAGACTTCAGCCAGAAAGCAAATTGTTTGGGTGATTTTAGTGAAGAACCTGGTACCAGGTATCCGGGAGATGAATGGAGACAAGGATAACCCCCATTTGCTCGGTCAACGCTCCTGAGTGGAAGCTTCTCTTTTGCTTGTGATTTTGGGGGAGTTGGGAATCAAGGTACGGGGGGGGGGGGGGGCTCAGGAGGGAAACAGGGTTTTCTTCAGCAGAAAGGGTTTTATTTTCATCTCCATTTCCTTGTATTCTTATATAACTTATATTAACAGGGTCCATGTTAACATGGACGTCTGGGGTTGGGAGATGGAGGGAGGATGAAAATTTGGGGGCCATGACAGGGTATAAGGGACAGGTCTACAGGAACAGGAAAGGGAGGAAGAGGTGAATGAGAGAAGGGGTTGTGTAACACGAATCTTAAAAGGTCTTATAATAGAAAACCCAGAGCCAGATATTGGGGTGAAAGCTGAAAGGTCAGAGAAGCAGAGCAAGCCAGCCACAAGTTCTTACCTCTACCAAATCCTCAGTCTAAAGAGAGCAAGTTCCCGTTTCCTCACGCCTTATATACCTTTCTGTGCCCTGCCATATTACTTCCTGGGAGTAAAGGCATGTGTGCTTCCCAAGCAAAGGCATGAGATCTCAAGTGCTGGGATTAAAGGTGTGTGCCACCACTGTCTGGCCTCTGTGTCTAATCTAGTGGCCGGCTCTGTCCTCTGATCCTCAAGGCAAGCTTTATTGGGGTACACAGTGTATCACCACAGGGTAGCCCTGCAGAATCCCCTTAAAGGATATAGGATGGACCAGAGTTCATCACTGCCTTGGCCTCTCTCAACCCCTCTGATAGGCAGTCATGTTTTCAATTAACTTCTCCAGCCCACAACTGAGGCTAGCTAGTGGCCAGTGGTGCTGAGATGCAATAAGAGGAGCTTGGGTGATCAAGTTCTTTCTTAGGAATGTTAACCAAGGGTGGGGGGGCAGGGTTTGGAGGGGAGGGACGTAGCTGAAAGGTTGAATGAAGTACAGCAACCACATGTAAACTGAAGCCCCAGGGAAGCAGAACTACAGACTGCAGGACACTCAGGCAGGACAGTGAGTTCTCATATCCTTAACAACACACGTTACACTTTTTACCTGAGGGAATTTATACTTGTTTTCTGAATGAAAAGAGCCCATCTTATCTCAACGAGTGTATGCGGTTTAGGAGGTAGGTTGCTTTGAGAAGAATGCATAGGCTGGCTGTCTTAACAAACACAGCCAACACTGTAGCTTACTTGGAAGCTGTTTGAAATGAGGCTTTCTCTAGGAAAAGGTTAGGGCCTAATTTCTCCCTTTGTTCTCGGGATGTCAGAGTAAGCTAAAACCGCGCTTAGGTCCTGAAGAAGGGAAGTCTTGGCATCTACAAAAAAAGGTTGGGTCCTAAGAAGTCTTTCCTAAGTTACTAGGCTCCAGATCCATGACTCTGGGGTGGGGTGGAGGGAAGCCCTGAAACGATGTCTTTACCCAAAGGAAGCAAAGGGGTGTGGCAACTGTGTGGGTTCATCACTTCTTGTCTCTGATTTCAGGGCTCAGGAAGGCTGAACTGGATGGAAAACCAAGGACAGCTCTTGTCAATACAAGGCCTCATCTATTACGTCCGCAGCCTCTTGGAAATGTCCTCCGGCAAGGCTGCCATCAGCACTTGACTGAAAACACATGGTCGGAATCAACTCAGAGCAGGGATTCATTATTGGGAATAATAAGGGAAAGTTTTTTATCCATCCTCCCCTGTCCCCCCGCAGGGAGAGCTGCTTTCTGGAAGTCACAGGGCTCAGAGGGGATCTGAATCATGTCTGGTAAGAAGGGAGGAATGGAGGCCTTCCAGAAGCCTTTTCACACGAAGTGAGACTGTCTGGGGCAGCTCGAAGCTAGCTGTTTTCTCTTCAGAATATCAGGCAGAGCAGCAGGCCATGACTCCTTTTAACTCATTCTTCTTTCCCAGAGCTATTAGTAGCTACAAACCCGGAGAGAAAAGTACTGAGTTAATCGGTCCTCTTTGGTTATGTCTCTTTTTCCAAAGAGGTCTCCCTCCCTCAGCTCTACTCCCCAGAGATCGTTGATATATGCCACTCGATCCAAGGGGAGGGTCTACACACAGAGTGACTTTGAGAGGAAACCCCTGTTAGGACAGTGAAGCAGATGTTTGCGCCATCACTAGTATGGCGTTCTCTTGGGGAGGTTTGTCCGAGTGCTCCCTTCCGGGGAGGCTGCTTGAGCGTGAAGTCTGGGAAAAGTGGGTGGGGTGTGTCATTTCTTGGGGGGAGAACATAATGGCCAGTGCTTGGTTTCTTCATGTGTGTATGTGTGTGTGTGTGTGTGTGTGTGTGTGTGTGTGTGTATGTGTGTGTGTGTGTGTGTATGTGTGTGTGTGTGTGTGTGTGTGTATGTGTGTGTGTGTGTATGTGTGTGTGTATGTGTGTGTGTGTGTGTGTGTGTGTGTGTGTGTGTGTGTGTGTATGTGTGTATGTGTGTGTGTATGTGTGTGTGTGTGTGTGTGTGTATGTGTGTGTGTGTGTGTGTGTGTGTGTGTATGTGTGTGTGTATGTGTGTGTGCGTGTGTGTGTGTGTGTGTGTGTGTGTGTATGTGTGTGTGTGTGTGTGTGTGTGTGTATGTGTGTGTGTGCGTGCTTGCCCTTGGAGGCTAGAGAGATTGGGGGATTCCCTGGAGCTGGAGTTACAGGTGAGTATGAGCTGCCTGCTGGGGGTCCTGGGATCTGAACTTGTATCCCTTTGGGAGAGCTGCAAGTGCTCTGAGTCACTAAGCCATCTTCTAGGCCTCCTGATCACCTTTTCAATCCCCATCCCCCACCAAAGGGGCAATGTGGACAGGCACATTGACACTGAAGTGCAACATGGAGTCACCACATGGATGGGAGCCTGTCCGGAGTCTCTCAGGCTCACACAGACTTTAAGTCACTGGTATTTGGGCAGCAAAATCAAATCTCTCATGATTTATACTTGGTGACTTGTTGACTTTCTTCCCTCCCAGGTCTGTATGGGGTGATAGAAAATATATGTTCCATCTGATCTCTGTCTTCGGCAGAATTCAGAGATGCAGGCAATGCGTTTTTTTTTTTCTCACTCTCGGCATATTCGGCTGAGAATTATGATGGGTCCTTCCTTCCTCTGCAAAGAGACCTCCAGTGTTGAAGTGTGAACTCTTTAGAGGAGAAAGGGTGGTCCTTCCATAGATTTGGGACCAAAGTGATGCCCACGAGACTGAAACCAAAGGCGCAATGATGGACACTCCTGGGTGGTGCTAATACCCACGATCAGTCCTCAGAATCAGATGCTCTGTCCTTGCTTCTTCCCCATCCTTATCCTCTGTTTCCAGAATTATCCTTGAGCAATCTGAGGTTCTGTCTGTTGACAAACTTTCGCAATCCTGACTAAGGCAACTTTGCTTTGCTCACAGCACACAGACTCAAAGACAGTGTGCACAGTGTGCAGCATTTCCGGGTCAGTCTAGAGCTTCTGAATCTTCCCCAGGACTGCAGTACCTCAACAGGACATATAAAAGTACCCCTGCCCACAGAGAGGTATATACAGAAAAGAATGACATCATCAATAAAAGTAACACTAATACGAGATGTCCTGCTAGCGCATCCGTCCTGCTAGCGCGTCCTGGGTAGCACCAGCCTGGCACGTTCTCAGCTCTGCCTTCTCTCCTGTGTGTCTTTCCTGCATGTGTCTCCTAGTATTTGAACAGTGACGGGCATGAAGAAGGCAATGGAGACCCTTCTGTTATCTTCCCCAGCCCCAGGCCCAGGCTTGTGCAGCCACTACTCAGCGCACAGGATCCAACCGGTAGTGTTTCTTCTGTAATTATGTGGAAAACTATTCCTGAAGAATTGTATGTATAGTGTTGTGCCGAGTACTTTAGTGACCTGGGCAGGAATAAGAGGCTGTAGTAGCTGTGAACAGAAATACTCCATGGGCAAAGGGCTTGGGTTCAAATCCCCACCCAATCTTTCCATCAAGAGGTTGACCTCTCTTGCCTCTGCCCCCTCCCCCGTTAGTACAGAAGGAACACACTGTGACAACCCAGTTCACCAGACTGCAGAAGGGATCACTGCGACTGAGTGTGCGCAGTGTGTCACACACCATGTGGTGCTTGGTGTGAGCTGTCACAGTGCCCAGGCTTGTCCCAGCAGCATGTGGCAGAAGGTCCGGGGGATGCTCAGAGCAGGAGAGGACTGTGTGGATTTGTCAACCCCTGAGTACAGAGTTCTCAGAGTCTTTTGGGGTCAAAACCAACCAACCAACCAACCAACCAACCAAACAACCAACCAACTAACCAACTAAAGGAGTCCACAGGAGTCTCCAGGATGGAGTCACTTGGTCAGTCGTTCACATTTGGGTCAGGGGGAAGGCTTCTTTTGTAACATCTTCTCGGGCACTGTTGAGTGATCCATTGGAATGTACGGAGTGCTTCACTTTTCTCCTTTAATTCAGTCAAAGCGGAGAGCGACCCAAGTAAGAGCGGCAGAGAACAAAGAACAGTTTTCCTAAAGTGCACAGAATGCTCTCTTTTCCTCACTTGTTACAAGGTTCATGGCGGACTCTCCTCTAAAAAAGCACAGCTAGACCTGAGAAAGGTTTAGACATTTACTTACTCTTTTCTTCTTTCAAACCAAGAGATCTATTAGGTGATGCAGAACCCAAAACAACATATATGAATATGTGTGTGTGTGTGTGTGTGTGTGTGTGTGTGTGTGTATGTGTGTGTGTGTGTGTGTGTGTGTGTGTGTGTGTGTGTGTGTGTGTAAACATTGGAGGAAATGTGTTCTCAAAAGAGAGACAAAAAGATGCAGCTCTTGCCAGACCCAAGAGCACCCCCACAGAAGGGCAAAAGGAAGGAAGAAGGGAAGACAGAGACACCCTTCTGAGAGCCCCCATCACTAGGCCATGTTCCTGTGCCTCTCCAGCCTGAAAATGGCTGCCTGCATATGCAAAACTGATTTACTTGGGTACCCTGATAAGCGGAAGTGGAGCCAAGTACTGTGGACTCAAAAAGGTGAGTAAGGAGACGGGAAGAGAGGTGTTGCTGGGAAGGAAAGGGCCATCATGAATAGGTAGCTCCGGCTAGCTTTGGCCAGAAAGTCAGTCCAAACATGCTGTTGCCCTGCTAATACCAATTTGGGGATGCATGAGAAGAGATCTCTACCTCCTTCTCAACCAGGCATTGCAGGTAGATCTGGGGGAGCCGGCCCCGATAAGAATTCTTATGCAACTGGCTTTTTGTCACAGCTGTCCAAGGATCTTACCTACAGGCTGGAGTAAAGTGTCTCAGCCTCCCTGTGCTGGGCACCGGAAACTGGAGGCAAGAAACATGGGTGCTTTTTCTTTCCCCATGGCAAGACCTCTGTGGCAAAAGACAGATTAATGAGAGAAAAGCATACACATTTATCTAATATGTTCTATATGACATGGAGACCCAAAGAAACAGGAAAACATGTGTTTTTTTTTTTTTTCTTTTCTTTTTAAAGAGAGTGGGCAGAAGTCTGACTGGAGGAGAAGCAGGTGTGATCTAATGTAAGCTAGGGGCAGATACAGCTGGCCAGCTGAGTCCTAGTCTTCTCTGCACCGGAGTGCCTTTGAGAGATAAGAGCATTCCTTTCCTCTGGGCCCAGGGAGGGCACCTCTGGGATGACTTCTTTACGACTGACGTTAGGGGAAAGCTGGCTAGGTTTTACGACCTGTTCAGGGGAACAGGGGAAAGGGGGAGAGAGGGGAAGCCATCAATCTTCCCCCTGCTGTTCCCTAGTGCATACTAAACTTCATCACCACCTCAAATACTCCTCGTGTTGTCTTAAGTTAGCCAACTTGTGTCAAAAGAATGCACGAGAAACTTACATTTAATCAGCTTGGTTTGCATAAGCATTCGATGGAAAACCACAAGTTCTCAAAATGCCCCTCACTGAGAGGAAGCACAGGGCTTCAGACCGGAGCGGCTGCCTGGGCAGCTTCTTCCAGACCTACACAAATCCTCCTGACTCCCTCACGCCCGGCATGCCTGCTGGCTCCTCAGGAACACGCTTCTAGCCCAGCAAGATGTCCTTCCCTGTCCCCTGCAGCTGGCATGCCTGCTGGCTCCTCAGGAACACGCTTCTAGCCCAGCAAGATGTCCTTCCCTGTCCCCTGCAGCTGGCATGCCTGCTGGCTCCTCAGGAACACGCTTCTAGCCCAGCAAGATGTCCTTCCCTGCCCCCTGCAGCTGGCATGCCTGCTGGCTCCTCAGGAACACGCTTCTAGCCCAGCAAGATGTCCTTCCCTGTCCCCTGCAGCACGGGGCCTCACCGTCATTGACCAGGAGACTTCGTTCTGTTTTGTAGTATAGTTATTAGAATGAGTTTTCTCATGATTCATTTACTGAGGGGGCCATAGGCTCTATCGCTTTATATTGGTCTGTACTCAATAATTACGAAGTCGTTAGCAAAGCCAGTCTCTCATGCCCTCCCCTTCCTTTTTGCATAGCACTTTACTGGATACCAACAGGAGGCAGGGAATGAGGTATAATGCTTAGTCTACCTCCTATGACTACAATCTCTGAAGGGGGAGCAGGCAGTGATTCTAAAGCTTTGGGTCACCAATAATTTTGATGATAGGTTGCCAGGGGTTGGAAAGATTGTTATTAAAAAATAACTTTATAGTTGGGCATGGTGGTGTGTGTGTCTTGAATCCCAGTAATTAGGAAGTAGAGTTCAAGACTAGTCTGGTCTGTATAGCAAGCTCTAGGCCAGCCAGGGCTGCATAGTGAGACCATGTCTCAACAAAAGTAAAACAACTTTACATTTATTCTTTCTTTCTTTCGCCTTCCTCTTCCTCTCCTGCTCTTAGGTGTGTGCAACGTGTATGTGTAGAGGTCAGAGGACAACTCTGGGGAGCTGGTTCTTTTCTTCTGACATGTGGATCTAGGGATCAAACCTAGGCCATCAGACTTCGTGGCAAGTATCCTTACCCAACGAGCCATTTTACTAGCCCTAGGAAGATTCAATACCTGACTCTGAAGGGGCTTCAGCCCCCAAACATTGCACTGAACCAGCTCAATCTGATACTTTGCCTCAGAGCCTCAGGGCAGTGGGAACTGGTGGGCCAGGCATCCAAGGCAAAGAGCGGAATTATCCCATGGATCACCAGTTGATTTATTTGCTAATTGAGTGGTCCAGCTTTGGGCTTCAACTCCAAAGAAATCACTTCATCCTTTATTAAATACCGCGAGAATCTCGCTCTTTGTTCTGCAAGGCTACCCACACTATCCCAGTGGAACAGGAGTGTATGCTTACAATAGTTATAATGACCTTCCAGACAATACTAATACCATGCCTGCTCAGCTTCGAAGTTAGATTTGAGCCTGTCAGTGAGTTCTGAGGGCCTTGGCCTCCCTCTGACACAAGAGCAGACCCCCACATCCATGCCCACCTCCAGCTTCCCCCATGGTTTCACCGTTTTCTTTGTGAGTCAGTTACTCTTTGGAGACCCCAATTCTTTCACACCTATTCTTTTTCTTTGCCGGACAATACTTTATTCGGAAATGTTCTCTTCTGTAATTACAAATCTTGTTAGTCTCCTCCTCCTCTCCCCAGGGGGATTGTGGGCCTTAATTAATTAATGTGGCTAAACCGCTTTGAGGTGCATGGTTGAAAGGTGCCATGTAAGTGCAAATTCTTATTCCGGCCGCTGACATCCCATGGTGGTAAAGCCCCCAGCCCTCCACATCAGAGACTGGACAAAGGCTTCGTCGTCTTCACCTTCCCTTCCGGGTCTGAAATCACAGTTACCATCTCAACAGCAACCAACCAATTAATCCTCATTATGTTGGCTTCCGGTTCCTTTTTCCAAGCAGCCCCCGTCTTGGTCTTGTTTCATTTCACAAATCACACCCCCATCAGCTCCAGACAAAGGTCACAGTATCCCTATGGCCTCTCTTGGCCTGAAAGGAAAAAGAGAGAGAGAAAGAAAAGGAAAGTTAAAAAGAAAATGCTGTCATGAAATGTACTAGCCTCCCATTAGTAATCTAAATAAAGCTCTTTTTCTGCAGCAGCATTTCCCTCCCACAGAGCCAACCATGGCATGGCCCTGAGACACCCAGAAATGGCCCTGTCAGGGTTAAGGTCCAGCAACTCTGGCTTGATTGCCAAGAGCCACATATAAAAGGGGAAGTCTATCTGTACTGGGAAAGGATCACCCAAAGACACAGGAGCCCCTTTTTGGGTTCCCGTTATCTCCAAGATTCCCCTGAGAAAGCCAGCTGCCATCTGTAGCCTCAGGAAACCCTCACAAAGGCCGGGAGCCATGATTTAGATGTTTTATGCTACACCTAGCACACCACAACCCTTAACAAATGCCCAGGACTTCCACTATGATGATGGCCATTGAAAGCAGCCCTGTGGGGGAGACTTGGCCTCTCATAGGGACGCTGCTGACCAAAACACTCCTTACAAGGTTGTGCCTCAGGCCCTTTGTTAGAGTGGATGGGGACAAGCCTCGGGGGGTCATGTCTTCATCTGCCTTCATTTATCGTCTCTATTGAAGGGCTCCTTCAGGACATTGGTCAGTCTCTGTGGGAAATGATTTGAAGAGCAACAAAAGAATTTGGGCCCTTTGGGGGGCCTTCAGAATTCAGTAAACATCTGGACATGGAAGGCCAGGTTCTCAAGCAGTCTAGCTGGGGAAATGTCAAAAGAGAGAAAGAGCTATGTGTGTAATGCAAGCGCTTAGTTTTGTGGTGACATTTGTTGTCCAGAGGCGCAGGCGCCCCAGTAGGTAGAAGGAAGATTTTTCAAAAGCTCCTCTACGTGTCAGGTTTTGTGAGAACGGTTCATTCTTCGTTGGTTCTCATGGCATATGTGGGGAAATGGAGGTTTCGCGTGGCTGGGGAGCAGCGCGTGATGGACGACAGTCCCATTCAGCATGGCTTACAAAAAAACTAAGTAAGGTTGCATAAGCTGGTGGTGGCTCATCATTTCTGTCACCCTTGAGGTTTGTAAAGCACTTACGAGTCAAGGTAACTTACTGGATTCTCGGGATGAACACAGTTTAATTGACTAAAACCAAAAAGCATAAAGAAAACAAAACAAACAAAAAGAGAAAGAAAGAAAAGAGGAAGAGAAAGATGTGAAGTGATTTGCATTTCATCCCATGGGTGAGATTCACGACCTGAACTCTTGACTCTCAACGTTCCCTTTATTGTTGAGTCAATCCATTTAGAACACATTAGTCAGCATGATTCAACATTTGTCACTAATCAGCCTTAGTGATAGAACTAATCAGCATTCCCCAGGGTCCCCAAATCTATCCTCAAACAGCAAAAGAAATTGGCTGCTGTCAAGAGACAATGGGATGCGGTTTTTGTCAGTATTAACTAGCTGAATCCAGTTCAAGTCCCCCATGTTCTCAGGCGCCTTGCCTAGTCATCCTGAGCTGGAATGAATCTATCTCTTTACCCCTTTCAACCTCTGTAACAGGTGTCAGTTTGTTTTTGATTAAACTTATCTAACTACATCTTCTTTTGAGCTAACAGGGACCCCTCCCTGCTTTATGTCCTCTGAATCCAGAGCATGCAAACAATAGATGTACAACTAGTATGTTCTGAACTGAACTAACCATCATGGAGCTTAAATCATATTCTAGAAAGAACACCAAATCCTTTTGGAAGTGATTTTCAAAGGAAATCAACAACCTGGATTGATTTAACATCTTTTGGTATGGGCATTTTAACAAATGCAAATTATTAACTCTGCCAATGGCTTCTAGGTTCTGTAGGAGGAGCCAGCCTAACAATAGTCCAGGTATTAGAATAAAGGTTTTTCTTTCTTTCTTTTTTTGTTTTTTTCAAGACAGGGTTTCTCTGTGCAGTTTTGGTGCCTGTCTTGGGTCTCGCTCTGTAGCCCAGGCTGGCCTTGGACTCACAGAGATCTGCCTGGCTCTGCCTCCTGAGTGCTGGGATTAAAGGCATGCGCCACAACCGCCCGGCGAAGGTTTTTCTTTTCTAACCTTATTTCAACTGATATTTTGTTCAATGTTTACAGAAAACAAAAGTGTAGACAGGAAAAAATAAATTTGAGAAAAAAATGTGCTTAGTCTGTGACTTTGGACCCTAGTCCATACCTAACCCACATACTAATAGAACACACACTGAAGTTCCTGCTTACAAGAGGTTCTGTTCTGGACTGGGGTGGGGATGGGACAGGAGTTCTGAGTGTTGATCCTTGGTAGAAAAACTGACTGCTGTTGTGTACCTTATTCTTCTGCTACAGTCTCTGGAACCAAAGAGAAAGAGACTGAGAACTTTCAATACATTCAATATTTATGCCGCATTTCAAGGCTGTAACAGCCCTAGGGGCTGTACTATTGCCCCCAGAATCTCTGTAACTGGCCTCTGAAGGGGATGTGTTGTTAAAATACCTTTCTGTAATGGTAATAGAGCCCTTCGTTTACTTGGGTATAAGACCACTCAGATTAGTAACATTTTCAACTTTTCTTGTCATGTATTTCACTTATAACTTGTCAACATCATACAAGCAGAAATAAAGCGTGTAGCTTCTGGGTAATGGTCCTTAAAGGAAGGGGAACACTTTCTCTGTCACCATGATTCTCCATCAAACACAAATCCCACTGCCTGGATGAAGGACATGATGCTGAGCCATTCTGGGCTAAGACAACAATGGGATATGTGAGGTGTGATGGGGAGGTAAGCCGATAGGCTGGGTCCCTGGACAAACAGGCCAGCTCTGAGTGCATTCCTCCACAGTGCTGTGGGAAAGCAGGAGTTCTCAGCACTATGCCACACTGTTTACCTGGGAGTTATACCCAGCTAAGTTACAACCCAATTACCCTAAGGAAATTTCTCAAGGGATCATTGTATCAGTATGATGGATGCATCTTTTAGTTTAAAATATCAAGGTTCAAGATTCGGGACTGGCTTGCAGTATGTCAACAGAGGCCCAGCAATTCTGAGAAATAAATGGCTCTAGGGCGTTCCATGGCAGGGGAGGGGGCCCAAAGGCATGAATTTTTTAAATCTCAGACCCAGGCTGGATGCTTTGAATGGGCTCCAAACCCACCCTGGGGGCAGTGAACACAACTCTGTTTCCTTACCTGAAGAGGAAAGTGGTGGGTGAGACCACATGCTCCTTACAGGAAATGTGTGCACAGCTAACTTTAGGGACAGGGAGGACTTCTCATCAGTAACCACCTAGGTGGATGCCAGAAGCACACATTCGCTGTGTAGCTCTCGCTAGAGGACACAAAAGCTTACAGTCGAAAGGCAAGGTTGACAGAGGCACACCAAGTGTCCGGGAGAATCCGCAAGACCCACACAGTTGTATTCAACTGCACGGAAATGGGCTCACTTCCTCCAGAGGGTGTGGAAACTGGGAAATCTCTCCGGAGAGGAAGTTGATGTGAAAGAGTAAAAACGAGGCACACAGCCTCTGGAGGCCATTGCACTTGTCATGAATTCCTAGAGAAGCCTCATACCTGCCTATCATGAGATCGGTAAAGAGATCCTTTGCTTTAAATAATCAAAATTTAAAAAAAAAAAAAGAAGGGTGGGGAAGACTGAAGAAATGGTTCAGTGGTCAGCAGTTAAGAGTGCTTACTGCGCCGGGCAGTGGTGGCGCACGCCTTTAATCCCAGCACTCGGGAGGCAGAGCCAGGCGGATCTCTGTGAGTTCGAGACCAGCCTGGGCTACCAAGTGAGTTCCAGGAAAGGCGCAAAGCTACACAGAGAAACCCTGTCTCAAAAAAACCAAAAAAAAAAAAAAAAAAAAAAAAAAAAAAAAAAGAGTGCTTACTGCTGCAGAGGACCCAGGTTCAGTTCCTAGCACCCAGCTGGTCACTCACAACCAGTTCCAAGGGATCTGCCACTCTTCTGGCCACCTCAGGCACAGGCATGCATGCACGCAGGACACAGATAGCATAGGCACATAATATGAACATAAATAAACCTTTACAAAAACGTCCATAAATAGGAGTTGGATGGCGTCAGTGGATGGTTCCCTGAAGTGAAAGAACACGAGTTGTGTGTGTCAGTGTAGACACATCACAGAAACAAGATAAATAACAAAAGAAAAGTGGCGAAATGTGCATGAGAAAGCACTTAGGAAACTTCTAGAAGGTGCCCCGGAAGAAATCATTCCACGTGGATTCACACCTAGACAGAAAAGCGGTCAAGAATGGCGGGGAAGGAGGTATGACATGGTGAGGGACGTGACCCTGTGAGCGGTGGGGATGTGTTAGAGGAGTTGGCTTGGGGCTAGCTTTAGAGACTCGAGCGTTGCCAAGTCTCAGTCCCATAATTGAAAAAAAACCAACGAAACCAGTGGGAATTTAAAAAAAAAAACAACCCAATTCTAGGTACTACATATGTGTAAAACTCATGTTTTATGACTTCTCTATTGTTCTGTACTAAGAACGGTTTCCGGCTGAGGTTAGTAATGGAGTGCTTGCCTACAGTGAGCAGGGCACTGGGCTCTGAGTGACAGAGAGTGAGCTCCTTGAAGCTAACGGTCAGAGGAGAATAAATGGACAAGCTGAGGGTGGGTGGTGGGAACGACATGGAAGGGGACACAAAGCGAATGTCAGAAGAGCACAGAGCAGACGGACACAGTCACCAGGAGGCCTGGGGGAGCCTTTCGAGGCTGCACCAGCGCCTGGAGTGGGAAGGGTGGGGGGTGGGCAGGGACACAGTGACAGGCCAGCTCCGCCTCCCTCTCTATGACCTCTGGGAGGGGAATTAGTGTTGTCTGCTCCGCTCAATCCCAGGGCTCTTGGCCCAGTGTCTCACATGAAGGCTGGGCTGTGCCAGGTATGTGGGATGGATTTACCATGCAGACACTTCTGTACTGGGATGGAAATAAAGTGAGAATTTTCTGTGTCATTTTGAGTCCAGGAGGCAAAAAAAAAAAAAAAAAAAAAAAAAAGAGAGAG